TGGAGGCCTAGTATCTATATGCCAAAAAAGAGGGGTTCTCAGTTTCTTGACAAGTCAAGGGGGTGCTTTGGCTTCCAGCATCACTGAAGGGACTGGTGCTGCAGAGCTCAGACCAAGAAGGGGTTTTCCAGCAAAGTCCTGTGCTGTGCGACTTGTCTCCAGCCTGGGTCTGGGCCCTAAAGTTGAAAGTGCACTATTAATGCACTACAATGAAAAGGGAGAGGTGTCCTGAATCAGTATCTTATATGAGAGATGAAAGCAAGTAGGGAAAGAGAAGGCCTGGGGGGTTCTCAGTAGCTCTGGAAGCATCGCAAGAGTTGGTGTGGGCAAGGGGACCCAACCTCCTATAGCTCTGGAGGGCACAGCTTGGGTCTGAGGGCGACAGTGCCTCCAGACAAAGCTTTGTTCCCCGGAAGCCCTATCGCTGCAGTTAGAATCCCAGGGGGCCTCCTTGGGGTAAAGGGGACGTTCCTGCCCCTCGGAGAGGATGTGACTTCTGGGCTCCTCCTGGCCAGCCTTGGTGAGCCTCAGCTTCTTACCACACTGCCTGCCTTCATATCAGCCTCTACACGAGTGGTCCCAGCCTGCCTAACGCAGCTAGGAAAGGATGAGTTTGGTCCCTCGTGGTAGGGGAAGCGTAAGAGGCTTCCTCACCCCCCACAGGGTTGAGCAGATAACTGGGCACAGCTGTCTGCCTCGGGGGCACCCTGCACCCAGCACGCTGGTGGCAGGCTCTCTGCTAAGTACTGTAAAAGCTGTTCTTTAAACACCGGCTCTTGGAATAACCGAACAGCTGCCTTTGTCCAGACACATTCCTTTTTTTAATAGAAAAAAGATTTCCCGAGATGTAAACCGTACCATACAGTTCAGCAGCTGTCCTCAGGCGGAGGCTGTGCTCGTCTTCTTGCTTTCCGGTAGGTGCGTTGGCTGCCTTGTAAGGACAGTCAGTTAAATAATACCCAAGACCTTCCAGCCCTAAAGATCACACAGCCTTATACAGCTGCAAACAGGCCTTTGGGGTCCTGGGTTCTACCCTTTCTCAATTTACAAACAAAGCTGGAAGAGGTTTCCAGGCCTCGGTGGGGCCTGGGCCTGTGCCTGTGCCCCCGAGCCACACTGCCTCTCAGGGTTCTTGGTGGGACCATAGCTCAGACAGCGGCACCTGAAAGGACAGAACTGCCGCCCAGGTGAGGTCCTGTGACGTGTGTTCTAAGTCGGGCTTTAGTAATGGTGCGGGTGGCCTGGTGCCCCTCAGCGTCACCGCACCACCTTTCGGCCTTTTGGTGATGAGGCTCAGTACAGGCTCACCGTATGTTGAGGTGGGGGCGGGTCAGTGCCTCTCCAGGGGTGAGTAGTTCTGCACTGGCCCTGCGTGTGGGTGAGGCTAAAGGAGGAGGCCCCGCAGTGGGGCAGGCAGCATGGAACTGCCGTAGCCTTCTTGCCCACTTGTTTTCAGGATATCGGCTTTCAGATGCCGGGTATGTGACTCTACTTGATTTTTGCGGTTGACCCAGTGCGCACCTCAACCATTTATTATCAATTCTGTAGAAAGGGACTAAAACTTACATTCAGTAGAAAATTACATGTATGTCCATATGCCTATCTGTATATGCACACACACACACACACGAATATGTTTGTGTGTGTACACATGTATGCAAATGCATGGAAATGTAGGAGGGAGGGAGGTGGAACTGGTTAGGGGTGGGGTGGTGCTGAAGGAGAACTTTAATATTTTATTTTAAATACTTTTTGTTTTGTTTTGTTTTGTTTTTTTGAGACGGAGTCTCGCTCTGTGGCCCAGGCTGGAGTGCAGTGGCCGGATCTCGGCTCACTGCAAGCTCCGCCTCCCGGGTTCACGCCATTCTCCTGCCTCAGCCTCCTTCCTGAGTAGCTGGGACTACAGGCGCCGCCACCTCGCCCGGCTAGTTTTTTTTTTGTATTTTTTAGTAGAGACGGGGTTTCATTGTGTTGGCCAGGATGGTCTCGATCTCCTGACCTTGTGATCCGCCCGTCTCGGCCTCCCAAAGTGCTGGGATTACAGGCTTGAGCCACCGCGCCCGGCCTTATTTTAAATACTTTATTTTTTGTGTTTTAAAGAAATTTTTTAAAAAATCAGAACACCAGAAACGCCTCTGTGCAGAGCAGAGGTTCTTAAGCAGTGCCGGCCCCTGCAGGGCTGTTCCCGCAGACAGCTGGCCCCTCATCCTGGCTTTCTGGGTCAGGAGGGCTGGGTGGGGCCCAGGAGCTGCCTCTCGATAAGTTCCAGGGAGGCTGCTGAGGTGGGGCCTGCCCTTCGGAACCCCGGTCTGGTGGAGAGACTGGGAGAGGCCTGAGTGACTCGTCTGCCTTTGCAGCGCCTGTCTGAAGAGAGGCGCGGAGATCAGAGCTTTATTCTCTCCCTACAACCCCATCCTCTTTCTGAGCATTTCCCAGCTGCTTGTGGGTGTGAGGAACACGGGGTCTGCAGTATCTCAGGAGTGGCTGTATCAATGTGTTTTCTCTTTTTAGCCAGGAAGACCAACAAACAGGTGTTTGTCAGCTATAACCTCCAGAACACAGACAGTAACTTCGCATTACTTGTAGAAAACAGGATCAAGGAAGAGATGGAGGCTTTTCCTGAAAAGTTCTAGCTGAGTGGCAGAAGTGAGAATTTGTTAACTTATGTACAATGTACATGTAAATAAATGGATTGAATTTCAGTTTGTCGTCAGGCCGCGTTCCTGTTTTGTTTTGAAGGGGTTAATCTTTTGAGCTTCCTTCTCAGCAGTGTGTGGGCCAAAAGGCTCATACTGACCCACCTGGTGAAGGAGAGGCAAAGTGGACAGTACACACTTCCTCATTTGGCTGTGAGTGATAGAGGGACGAAATGGGATTTCTGTTGGGATTGAAGGCTGTAATCTAATCTAAGAGTTTCAGTCAGACATGACTGTCTCATGTGCATCCTCAGTTAGAATTAAAGTGATGTGTAAATATGCTTTAGGTTTGTGTGTGCATTCCTCAGAATTCTGTCTTGTGAATTGATGCATTTATCTCCTTCTCATTGCACTGAAACCCCAGGGCACTTCTCTTCTTGCTGTGTTCTCCCTAAACCCTTCCTCTGGGCACTCCTTTTTTGCTGTGTTCTCTCTTGGGCCTACATTTGAGCACCTCCCTACATTGCCCCATTACTACATTTGTGGTCTTGTGAAGTCTGACTTCTAGGCTCTGTCTCCTCATTTATAAATTGGAGTAATCCCCACCTTGATGGGTTCTTGTTAGGATTAAGTAGGTAGATAGAAATGCTTTGCAAACTATAAGTACCATGGCAGTTAGATGTCAATTATGGTTTTATCTCCTTCCTTTTTATGGATTCAAAGGCTTCAGGTCCTTCTTGCTCCTCTTGTTATTTCATCATCTTCCCTTCTCCCCTCTCTTCTATCCCAAATCCAGAGTACCTCAGGTACCTGCTTTGGTCATTTGTACTCCTTAGCCTTTAATCTTTAATGCTACCGCTTGAAGTGGGTTGCAGTCTTGGGCCTTCTCCAGAGGTTCAGACGGTCTGGGGCCCAGGCTTTGGCAGGATTGCAAGCTCCCCTGGTGCCTCTGTGCAGGCAAGATTGAGGACCACTGGCAAAAAACTTTCTAACCTTTGGGGTCCATCGGAACCCTTTTTGTTCATCCAGAGGCAAAAGTCTTGCGTTGAGCCGGCAGCAGGCAAGTGCAGGTGGTGACCCTGGCCAGGACGGAAAGGCGCGTCAGAGGAGTGAGTCTGTGGTTCCAGGCGCTTCCCTCCTTTGCAGACTTTCCGTGCTAACCTCAAGGCCTCGGCCAGCCTCATCACAGCTTGCAAAGCTGAGTGGACACCTCTAGGAATATAATAGTGAGTGACACAAAATCAGGGCTATGGAGAGAAGAGTTTGGTATAAATAGTTTATTAAAGAAATATCGTCATTTTCATTAAAAAATACTACATTAGAGAAGAGAGTTTGGGTTACCAGTCTTTCCTCACAGAATCACAGTGTAAGATACTCATTTCTTGATGTCTCTAGGAACCTTCAGGCCACGGATCAGCAGAACATAAACGAACAAGGGGAAAAAATTCCTCTTAATTTTACTGATGGCCCCCATCTCCCAGGTGGTCTGAGAGTGGCACTTGGTAAACAGTTTGTGTTTCATCCAGCCTCTGCCTCTGACTACCTTTAAGACCAGGACCCGAAGCAGAGTGAGAGGCCTCCCTCCACCCACCTCGGGGCGAGTGAAGACACAGCTTACAGAGGCATGAAAAGTAGTGACGCAGCGAGGTCTGAATGAACACAGAGGATTTTATTACTCGTTGTTAATGGTAGTGAAATGCCCTTTGTCGGATACCATCAGGTGAGGTAGGGAAGACATTCCAGAGGAAATCTGTTAATGGGGCAACATTTTTATTTCTGTACATTTACATACAAATTTTCCCCAAAGGTACAACAGATGCGACACCATGCAGACACGCAGCTGTGAACGAGTTCAGAACTCAGTGTAAGCTTGTGCTATGAACGAGCACCGTCAGAGAAGCCCCACCCACACGTACAGAAACACGGGTTTTATATTACAACCTCAAGGACAGAGGGAGGGAAGTGTTCGCCACTAGACATGACACGCCATACTGATTTTCCAAAACACACGGTACATGAAAGTGAGGTGGTGCCTTCTAGACAAGAGGACATGCGATACCTGGGGCCAGGCGGTATGATGTTGCAGGCCCGCTTATGGCATTTCCAGTTCGGGATCGCTCATTTGGCTCTAGGAAGTGGTGGTGTCTGAGTGCAATACTTCCCCTACGAGGTTTGTTTTTGTTTCTTTCTGTTCTGTAGCCAAACCAACTTACCAGCCCGTCTTCCAGATGCAGGTGCTCTTACTCTCAGTAACCAAAAGCATTGAAACCTTTTTCCTGTTTCTCTTGGGTGGTAATAATTAGAGTATTTGATAAGAGTTTGACTTCAGGAAAAGAACAAAGTGAAGAAATGTTCAGCTCCATCTCAGGTGTCCACATTTGTGCATCACGTTTATTGAAAGGCTGACAGGGTAGGCTAGCAGGACGCAGGGGTGTGTGGAGGAGCAGGGGGTGGGAGGGTCAAGTTGAAACAGTGGGTGCCTGAGAAGGGTCTCCCTATTAGCCAGGAAGGGAACAGGACTGAGGGGTTCAAGCGCCACAGACTGTGCTGGGAAGTGGGCAGCCGTAGCAGCCTCCCCTGCAGAGCCAGGCGGGCCCAGGCGCGTGGCGGGCTTGGGTGGGCCCGGCCGCCTTGCTCACTTGGTACCAGATTTCCCGGGGCTGTGCTCAGCGGGAAGTGTTGCTGCTCTGGCAACATTTTATAAAGGTGTTCCTCGACAGCTGGATATCCCTGGGCTGAAGCTGCCACAGAACAGGCACCCAGCCTCCTCCTGAGGCTGCCGTGGGAGGACAGCTGTGGGACCGCCTTGCCGGCTGAGAGACATCCCCTGCTGGCCGTCGGCAAGTCAGCCTCACTCACACCCGCTGGACTCTGGTCCCAGGAGCCCAGGCCTCAGCGCTAGCCTCGTTTCCAGTCACTGATGGATTAGTCCTGATGCCTGAAGTGCTGAGCACTGTCTTCGTTGGACCGGTTTTTTATTGTCATTTGAGGTGGAGATCAGAGACCATGACCAGAAGAGTGTGAGTACTGTCCCTTGCCACCACCTTCCTAGAGATTTCGGGCAGCACTCTACAGCTTCAATTTCCCAAAAAAAAAAAAAAAAAAAAAGTTTACATGACCAGCGTGAGGCTGCTCGCAACTTTCATCACTTAGCAAATCCTTCCGCAACACAGTAGTAAGTGGACTGGACTGCAGGGTGGCCTGGTGCTGGGGGTGATGGGTGCAGACGTACACCTGTCCAGGTGCGGGCTCAGGGGCCTCGCTGGATCCTTCCCACCTTCCCCAACTGCCTATGGGCCTGGCTACTGGACAGGTCCTATTCTGTACGTAACGGGGGTTTGTTGACAGGTGGCTTTGTAGCAAGTACTCCAAAAAAGGTAAAAGGAATTTCACAAGTTTGGCACGCAAAGGCTGCACAGATCTAAAGAAAGGCCTTTGTAAAGGTGAATGCAAACTAATGTTGAAACATGGAAACGTGACTTTAAAAAAGAGGGAAGATGAGGATGAGCTGGACGTGTTGCAAGTGGAGGTGGGGAGAAGCCGGCCAGACAGCCTCCCTTCCTGGGTACCTCAAGATCCCAGGTGTCGGCGTGGTCCAGCCACTGGAAACACGTGGCCATGAGTCTGCTTGCCCCTTGCTGTGTCTTCACACATCACCAGGCTCCTGCTGATGTGTGGACCGCATGTGGAGGAGACATGGGCGGAGACAGCAAACAGCAGGCCGGGTGGAAAGCTGGAAGGGGAGAAGGTCAACCCCTTTTCTGCCCTGTGAATTCTAGCAATGTCGGTTGGAAGTCACTTCATTGTCTCACCCAGGCCCGAGACCACGATTTCCCTGGAAGGACACAGTCCATGGCAAAGACACGCTTCAAGAAGGGATGAGTTGGACAATCCCAGTAAGAAGCCAGGCTGTCCAGAAAAGCTGGTGCCCAAGTTGCTACAAAAGTGGTGCCTGCCCTTGCCAAGGAGGCTGTCTCTTAGTGGCCTTGGGTGTCCTACACATTTCCTCCGAAAATGCCAAGAGGAAACCTTTACCTTCTGGGGTGAAACGAGGAACACGAAGACACCCTTGGAAGTCGGGGCAGGGGCAGCGTTGAGCTTTGGTGAGTTATTGCTTTCTTTCAGTTTGTCTTGATGCCTTCGAGAGGCTGGAGGTCATTTGGACTCACCTATGAGGAATCTCCGCTCCCTGCCGGAAGCCCTGCCTCTGTGCTAAGCGAGTGACTACAAGCAGGAGGCTGGCCCAGGAAGGCAGGCGTGGGGGGCCCAGCTCCTGCGGGTGCTTCCTGGAGTGATGTCTGAGGTGACAAGCCATCCAAGCTGGTGATCTTCCTGGTGTGTGCTCGAGGTGTGGGTGATGGGCGCGTGTGGAGGGCAGTCCCCCCTTCTGTGGATTTGCCTCTGCCATCTTTTCGAGTTATTTTCTCATTGTTTGTAGCTTAGAAAGTGGCCATGTTTTCAAGTAGTGCTGGCACAAGAGCTGGCTGTGCACGGGGGGCTTTTCTGCTGGAGCCAATCTGGGAGAGGAGGAATAAAAACGAGCACATCTCAGGCCTCGACGCATCTGTTAGCTGTGTACTCACAAAGCTGTGGCGATATGACCGCTGCTCAATTAAGATTTCTGGTGAAATATTTAAGCTTTTTCTCCAAGAGCGTCCAGCATCAAGTACAAAAGGATGATCCTGAAGGAAAGATGAAGCTGGTTTTAATGGCGTCTGTGAGCTGCTTTCCCTGCACACGGAATAGAAGCTCTTACCTTGCAAACAGAAAGGGAAAAAGGACCTTAAAAAACCATACACAGACTCTCTAGCAAAAGCCAAATTCATGTACATTTCACTCTGCCTAAAATGCAGTCCTGGAAACGCTCCACAGTTGTGTCCTGCCTCTGCACACAGGCAGGCAGCCTGGGGGGCTCCTGGGTGTTGCGAGGAACCGTGTCCCGTCTCCCGAGAGGAACCGGCCGCGACCATGGTCACTGCAGCATCTTCCCAGAGTGACTGCATCTCGCTGCCGAAAGAGGTGATTCCATTTGTGATCGGTGAGGGGGAGGGAATAAAGTGCTTCTCGTAAAAATGACCAAAATAAATACAAACATTTAATGGCAGAAAAGAAAGTCTTGGAAGGGTTATTTCCAAAGAGTTCGTCTCCTCCGACCTGTGCTCCTTGGACTTGTGGAAAGACAGGATTTCCCCACACCCTGGAGAGGCTCGGCTTGGGTGGGGCAGCTTTCCCCCTCCGGGCCATGCATTCGGTCCCTGGTCTGTAAACCTGTGCCCGAGCGGCCCCAAACCCTTGAGCCCCGGGTTCTGCGGGCCAGGCTACATGGCCTTCATGCCATTGGCCGTGGCACCCTCGGGCAGTGTGTCACCCGAGGCTGCGGCATCGTGGAGGCCCGAGTAGTCCTTGAGCTCGGCGTTGGTGAGCAGCAGTGGCTGCTCCCCCTTCTTGTGCGGCAGCAGCGGCTGGCGCGTGTAGTGCTCCCCGTTGGAAATGTTCTCAGGCAGGTTCTGGTCCCTGCTCTCGGGCAGCAGGAGGATGCAGATGATGCAGATGAGCGTGCAGCAGGCAAAGATGATGTGGTGCAGGAAGTAGCCTTTCTGGTTGTGCAGCTCGATGATGGGTGCCGTCAGCATGCCGAAGCCCGCGCTGGCCAGCACCAGCCCCAGCCCGCCGCACCTGCAGGAGGAGGCAAGCACTGGGTGAGCTGCCGTGGCCTAGTGGCTGGATCCTGGAAAAGCTCGGGGTGGACCAGGAAGCCGCCTCTGCAGGGGCCCTGCTGCCCTGGGCACTGCCCAGTGTACCCCGATCTCACACATCCCATATCACCTGCACCCCGGCTGCATCTGTTCAGGGCTACTCTGAGGCAGTGGCCGTTTTTCCTCATCAGTTCAAAAGCTTTTACTTACATTATCTTTTTCTTTAATCTGTTTCCTATTTTTATTGTTTTTTCAGGGCTGGGGGGCCATGAGAACTTTATTTTGAAAGGCAGCTTTATATAATACTACTGTAAATGGAAAGCCAGTATTACTTGCCATAAGTAATATACAAGGAAAAATAAAAGGTAACGAAATTATGCCATTTCCCCAAGGCCTGGGGGATTACCAAGGGTTAAAGAGGGTACGAAGGACGTACCAGCACGAACAGAGACTTTTTCTTTGTCATAACTGGAGAGAGAGCAAGATATTTTAAAAGAGTAATTTCCTCACTGTGAGTAGATGGCCCCCGTGTCTCCTAAAATTGATTGCATACCACCAGTGGAAACGGTCCCATCTCTGAGGACTGTGCCTGAAGGGTCCTCCAAATGAAGCTGTGCACTGACAGAGAAGAACTCACTGCAGCTCTGAGCTCAGGACAGCCAAAGTCCAGAAGGCCAGCCATTGATCTCCACTCCCTGCCTTGTACGGGAGCGGCCAAGAGTCCCAGGGATTAGTAGATACACAACACTCACAAACCCCCTATCCCTCAAACCTCTCCACTTTGGCCTAAAAACACATTACGGGGACAAAGGTGTTCTGTGGCCCCTGAGAAAGCAGTGCTGTGCAGGCTGCAGTGGGACCGTGGCGCTCAGGTGACAGACCAGGCTAGAGAGGGCTGCCTGGTCCCCAGTTCTGGGGCCTCATTGAAGCGGGCAGGCAGAGGTGGCCTTGTCTCGAGAACGGGGAGTGGAGTTGTCTGCCAGGCCCCAGGGCGGCGGGCAGAGTGGTCCTTTGGTTTGGGGAAGCTTTCTAGTGGGGCTGCTCAATTGTTAGGCACTCCCTGAAGTGAAGAGCCCTTTGTCCTTGGAACTGCTGCGGCTGAGTGGGCTGAAAGGGAGGTCCCGCAACAGGTAGGAGGCAGGTATATAACTCCAGCTCTTGACCAGTCTGTGGTTCTCTTGGTTGGCACTATGTAGCTCCTAACTCACCAAAAGACTGTCCTACAAGGTCACAAGATACAAGATCAACATATAAAAGTCAATTATATGTCTACATGCTAGCAACAAAACACCCAAAAATGAAGTTAAGAAAATTCCATTCACACTAACATCCAACGAATAAAATGTTTAGAAATAACAAAGGAATGCAAGACTTGTATGCTCAAAAAGATAAAACATTGCTGAAAGTTAAAAAGATAAAAATAAATGGAGTGACATTCCATGTTCATGAATTAGAAGACTCAATATTGTAAAGATGGTAATTTTTCCCAAATTAATCTATATATTCCACATAATCCCTATGAAAATTCCAGGTGACTTTTTTTTTTTTTTTTTTGAGAAAACAGTGAGCCGATCCTAAAATTTATGTGGAAATGCAAAGGACTCAGAGTAGTCAAAAACAATTTTGGAAAAGAACAAAGTTAGAAGGCTTGCCTTCCCAGTTTCAAAACTATAAAGCCATACGACTTAAGGCAGTTTGGTATTGGTGTATATATCAATAGATCAATGGAACAGAACTGGGAGTTCAGAAACTAACCTTCACATTTATGGTCAACTGACTGTAGATGGAGGCAAATCCAGTGAGGGGGAAGGGATAGTTTCTTCAGCAGGTGGTGTTGGGACAACAGGATATTCACATGCAAAAGAATGATGCTGACCCTTCGCATCATGTAAAAAAATGAACTCAAAGTGGATAATAAAATCTAAGTGCTTAACTTAGCTCAAACTATAACGCTTCTAGAAGAAAACAAGAGAAAAGCTTTATGAGCTTGTGTTAGGCAAGATTTCTCACACATAACATCAAAAGTAGGATCCACAAAAGAAAAAGCTGAAGCTGATCAATTGGACTTCATTAGGATTAGAAACTCCTACCCTTCAAAAGTTACATGTTTAAGAAAAGGACCACAGACTGGGAGAAAATATTCGTGAAGCATATATCAGATAAAGGACTTGTAACTAGAATATGTAAAGAACTCTTTTTTTTTTTTTGAGAGTGTCACACAGGCTGGAGTGCAGTGGCACCATCTCGGCTCACTGCAAGCTCCGCCTTCTGGGTTCAAGCAATTCTCCTGGCTCAGTCCCCCGAGTAGCTGGGACTACAGGCACGTGCTACCATGCCCGGCTAATTTTTTGTATTTTTAGTAGAGATGGGGTTTCACCGTGTTAGCCAGGATGGTCTTGGTCTCCTGACCTCATGATCCACCCACCTTGGCCTTCCAAAGTGCTGGGATTATAGGCATGAGCCACTACGCAACTCTTACAACTCAAAAAGAAGACGGAAAATCCAGTAAAAAGATGGGCAGGCCAGACACGGTGGCTCATGTCTGTAATCCCAGTGCTTTGGGAGTCCAAGGCGGGAGGATCACTTGAGGCCAGGCATTTGAGACCAGCCTAGGCAATAAAACCCCATCTCTATGAAAAAAAAAAAAAAATTGACAGCACACAAATGGCCATCAACTGGTGAATGGATAAACAAAATGCAGCCCATCATATAAAATGGAATATTACTCAGCCATAAAAAGGAATGAAGTACTGACACGTGCTACAACATGGACTCAAAAACATTATGCTAACTGATTGTATGAATCCATTTATATGAAAAGTCAAAAAGGCTTGGAATCCCAGCACTTTGAGAGGCTGAGGTGGGCAGATCACCTGAGGTCAGGAGTTCAAGACTAGCCTGGCCAACATGGTGAAACTCCATCTCTACTAAAATGGAAAAATTAGCTGGGTGCAGTGGCAGGAGCCTGTAATCCCAGCGGCTCAGGAGGCTGAGGCAGGAGAATTGCTTGAACCTGGGAGGCAGAGGTTGCACTGAGCTGAGTACGTGCCATTGCACTCCAGCCTGGAGCCTGGGCAACACAGCGAGACTCTGTCTCAAAAAAAAAAAAAAAAAGGCAAATGTGTAGAGGCAGAAAGCAGATTCATGGTAGCTTGGGCTGGGGGTAGGGATGGACTTCAGAGGAGGACAAGGGGGAGAAAGAAATGTTCTATAACTGCATTGTGGCAGTGGTTGCATGGTGCTGTCAGTTTACTAAAAGTCATTGAATTGTTTACTTAAAATGGATGAATTTTATGGTTCTGTAAATTATGCCTCAATAAAGCTGTTTTTTTGTTTTGTTTTAAAACAACAGAACTTCCTGTTGTGGGGGCTGGTCCCCCTGCTGCTACAAATCTCCAAAGCTTTTAGTTCTGGGCAGGCGCCCAGGCCTTGCCTCTTCTTTCCAGGCACTAAGAGACCAGCCATGACTCCCCTTTCCACCACCACCTGCGGCCAGGGTTTCTGCTCTGCTCTGCCCCCTGTGGCACTGAGCAGCACCGAGCAGCACCGAGGAGCACCGAGCAGCACTGAGGAGCACCGAGGAGCACTGAAGAGCACCGAGGAGCACCGAGCAGCACCGAGCAGCACCGAGGAGCACCGAGCAGCACTGAGCAGCACCGAGCAGCACCGAGGAGCACTGAGCAGCACTGAGGAGCACTGCGCGGCACTGAGCAGCACTGAGCAGCACTGAGGAGCACTGAGCAGCACTGAGGAGCACTGAGCAGCACTGAGGAGCACTGCGCAGCACTGAGCAGCACTGAGGAGCGCTGAGGAGCGCTGAGCAGCACTGAGCAGCACCGAGCAGCACCGAGGAGCACCGAGCAGCACCGAGCAGCACTGAGGAGCACTGAGCAGCACTGAGCAGCACTGAGCAGCACTGAGCAGCAGCTCCCTCGTGCTGGGGACTTCTCAGGCTTTGCTGCTCAGACGGGGAGAGCATCCCTGCCTTTGTGACCTGATGCCTGCTCCCACAGACCCTCTCAGGATGACCTGGGTTGACATGGGGGGACGTGAATGGAGGAGGCTTGGGCAGGGGTGACCTGGGCAGGGAGGATGGGAGTCCTAGGGTTCCCAGGTGGCCCTCGTAAACCAGACATACACAGGTCTATGCTAATAACCCCAGGGAGAATCGCAGCTTCGGAGCCTTTTTCTCAGAATGCAATGGAAGCATGGTGATATTGTGTGTGTGTGTGTGCGTGTGTGTGTGTTGGGGGGGGTTTGTCCTATTTTATAACAAAAGAATAGAAGACACTTCTCTCTCCCTTCTCTCCCTCTAATGTAGAAATGACTGCCTCTCTACAGGTTGCAGTCCACCTATCTGCATCCACCATAGGCCCAGGGGCAGCCTTGCCAGGCTTGCAGTCCTAGGGGATAAAGAGTTGCTGGATTCTTCCCTTTCCCAGCTGCTGCTTGTCCAGCCATGACCAAGTCCTCAGGGCGTCCACTCCAGGCCGCCTGGGTCTGCGCTCCTCCCAGCCATGACCAAGTCCTCAGGGCGTCCACTCCAGGCCACCTGGGTCTGCGCTCCTCCCTGCTGCATCTTCTGCACCCCCTGGACTTTGTTTCCTCACTATTGCCAAACCAATTTTCCTAGAACACAGAGCTAATCATGTCACCTGGCTGCTCAGAGTCCTCCAGTGGCTCCCTCCTGCCTGCAAGGTGATGCACAGATCCTGGGGGCCCCACCTCTTCATCCTGTCCTCTCCCTTTGAGTCTCACTGCTCACGGCGCCGGGTCCCTCAGCTCTGTCCAGTGCTCGCTCTGTGAGGTTCACCTATGCTGGCTCAGCCGAGCTCTCACGGGCTACCCGGGTAGGGCGCCATCTGCGCACGTCTGGAGGAAGTACTGCCTTCCGGTACAGGGGCTTTGTTAATGTTTGTTCCATTAGATTATTGTCAAGACCAGGGCATCGGCCATTAGCCTTCAAGCCTTGAGTAAACC